GGTACGAGCTCCGCACACACAGAGCCGGGGGGACACATCGGGTACGAGCTCCGCACACACAGAGCCGGGAGGACACATCGGGTACGAGCTCCGCACACACAGAGCCGGGAGGACACATGGGGACATGCACGGCTCGGATCAGCTGCGGGCGGGGCGTCTAATCGGGGATGTACAGTACAGGACGGGGACACCACACATAGATGGAGCAGCACGGGACACATGGAGGAAGTATGACACCGGCACCACCTACAGCTCTGCCAACAACAAGCAATGACAGGAAGCATGCAGCCCGAACAACGCACGGCGAGGACGCGGCTTACCTCTTGGATCGTCTCAGCATGCTGGGGTCCGGCAGAGAGAAATTGGACAGAACCGTCCAGAAAGAGTCAGACATGATCCAAGAGAGAACGCATGGCCGGCGCCGCTCAGCGCACACACAGCCGGAGGATGAAGGGCCCCCCCCCCATGTAGCCGTATTCCCCGGGGAGGACACAGAAGTGATGCCGCCTTCTCCTGAGCTGAGGATCAAACCCCCTCCCCCCCAATCACAGCCGCCTCTAATCTCAGCAAAAGCCTCAGCGCAGGGGTGTCACCGCACGCCGAGGGACTCGCTGCTCCCTAAAACCTCATTATATAGGTCGCTGCCGGAATTAACACTTCGTGGGATGCAGCAAGCCCAGTAATGTCCCTCCACCATCAGGACCAAAGTACCCCAGTAATATCCCTCCACCATCAGGACCAAAGCACCCCAGTAATGTCCCTCCAACATCAGGACCAAAGTACCCCAGTAATATCCCTCCAACATCAGGACCAAAGTACCCCAGTAATATCCCTCCACCATCAGGACCAAAGCACCCCAGTAATATCCCTCCACCATCAGGACCAAAGCACCCCAGTAATATCCCTCCGACATCAGGACCAAAGTACCCCAGTAATGTCCCTCCAACATCAGGACCAAAGCACCCCAGTAATATCCCTCCATCAGGACCAAAGTACCCCAGTAATGTTCCTCCAACATCAGGACCAAAGTACCCCAGTAATATCCCTCCAACATCAGGACCAAAGTACCCCAGTAATGTCCCTCCAACATCAGGACCAAAGCACCCCAGTAATGTCCCTCCAACATCAGGACCAAAGTACCCCAGTAATATCCCTCCAACATCAGGACCAAAGTACCCCAGTAATGTCCCTCCACCATCAGGACCAAAGTACCCCAGTAATGTCCCTCCACCATCAGGACCAAAGTACCCCAGTAATATCCCTCCACCATCAGGACCAAAGCACCCCAGTAATATCCCTCCAACATCAGGACCAAAGTACCCCAGTAATGTCCCTCCAACATCAGGACCAAAGTACCCCAGTAATATCCCTCCAACATCAGGACCAAAGTACCCCAGTAATATCCCTCCACCATCAGGACCAAAGCACCCCAGTAATATCCCTCCACCATCAGGACCAAAGCACCCCAGTAATATCCCTCCGACATCAGGACCAAAGTACCCCAGTAATGTCCCTCCAACATCAGGACCAAAGCACCCCAGTAATATCCCTCCATCAGGACCAAAGTACCCCAGTAATGTTCCTCCAACATCAGGACCAAAGTACCCCAGTAATATCCCTCCAACATCAGGACCAAAGTACCCCAGTAATGTCCCTCCAACATCAGGACCAAAGCACCCCAGTAATATCCCTCCACCATCAGGACCAAAGCACCCCAGTAATATCCCTCCGACATCAGGACCAAAGTACCCCAGTAATGTCCCTCCAACATCAGGACCAAAGTACCCCAGTAATATCCCTCCAACATCAGGACCAAAGTACCCCAGTAATATCCCTCCACCATCAGGACCAAAGCACCCCAGTAATATCCCTCCACCATCAGGACCAAAGCACCCCAGTAATATCCCTCCGACATCAGGACCAAAGTACCCCAGTAATGTCCCTCCAACATCAGGACCAAAGCACCCCAGTAATATCCCTCCATCAGGACCAAAGTACCCCAGTAATGTTCCTCCAACATCAGGACCAAAGTACCCCAGTAATATCCCTCCAACATCAGGACCAAAGTACCCCAGTAATGTCCCTCCAACATCAGGACCAAAGCACCCCAGTAATATCCCTCCACCATCAGGACCAAAGTACCCCAGTAATATCCCTCCAACATCAGGACCAAAGTACCCCAGTAATGTCCCTCCAACATCAGGACCAAAGCACCCCAGTAATGTCCCTCCAACATCAGGACCAAAGTACCCCAGTAATATCCCTCCAACATCAGGACCAAAGTACCCCAGTAATATCCCTCCACCATCAGGACCAAAGCACCCCAGTAATATCCCTCCACCATCAGGACCAAAGCACCCCAGTAATATCCCTCCGACATCAGGACCAAAGTACCCCAGTAATGTCCCTCCAACATCAGGACCAAAGCACCCCAGTAATATCCCTCCATCAGGACCAAAGTACCCCAGTAATGTTCCTCCAACATCAGGACCAAAGTACCCCAGTAATATCCCTCCAACATCAGGACCAAAGTACCCCAGTAATGTCCCTCCAACATCAGGACCAAAGCACCCCAGTAATATCCCTCCACCATCAGGACCAAAGCACCCCAGTAATATCCCTCCGACATCAGGACCAAAGTACCCCAGTAATGTCCCTCCAACATCAGGACCAAAGTACCCCAGTAATATCCCTCCAACATCAGGACCAAAGTACCCCAGTAATATCCCTCCACCATCAGGACCAAAGCACCCCAGTAATATCCCTCCACCATCAGGACCAAAGCACCCCAGTAATATCCCTCCGACATCAGGACCAAAGTACCCCAGTAATGTCCCTCCAACATCAGGACCAAAGCACCCCAGTAATATCCCTCCATCAGGACCAAAGTACCCCAGTAATGTTCCTCCAACATCAGGACCAAAGTACCCCAGTAATATCCCTCCAACATCAGGACCAAAGTACCCCAGTAATGTCCCTCCAACATCAGGACCAAAGCACCCCAGTAATATCCCTCCACCATCAGGACCAAAGTACCCCAGTAATATCCCTCCAACATCAGGACCAAAGTACCCCAGTAATGTCCCTCCAACATCAGGACCAAAGCACCCCAGTAATGTCCCTCCAACATCAGGACCAAAGTACCCCAGTAATATCCCTCCAACATCAGGACCAAAGTACCCCAGTAATATCCCTCCACCATCAGGACCAAAGCACCCCAGTAATATCCCTCCACCATCAGGACCAAAGCACCCCAGTAATATCCCTCCGACATCAGGACCAAAGTACCCCAGTAATGTCCCTCCAACATCAGGACCAAAGCACCCCAGTAATATCCCTCCATCAGGACCAAAGTACCCCAGTAATGTTCCTCCAACATCAGGACCAAAGTACCCCAGTAATATCCCTCCAACATCAGGACCAAAGTACCCCAGTAATGTCCCTCCAACATCAGGACCAAAGCACCCCAGTAATATCCCTCCACCATCAGGACCAAAGCACCCCAGTAATATCCCTCCGACATCAGGACCAAAGTACCCCAGTAATGTCCCTCCAACATCAGGACCAAAGTACCCCAGTAATATCCCTCCAACATCAGGACCAAAGTACCCCAGTAATATCCCTCCACCATCAGGACCAAAGCACCCCAGTAATATCCCTCCACCATCAGGACCAAAGCACCCCAGTAATATCCCTCCGACATCAGGACCAAAGTACCCCAGTAATGTCCCTCCAACATCAGGACCAAAGCACCCCAGTAATATCCCTCCATCAGGACCAAAGTACCCCAGTAATGTTCCTCCAACATCAGGACCAAAGTACCCCAGTAATATCCCTCCAACATCAGGACCAAAGTACCCCAGTAATGTCCCTCCACCATCAGGACCAAAGTACCCCAGTAATGTCCCTCCACCATCAGGACCAAAGTACCCCAGTAATATTCCTCCACCATCAGGACCAAAGTACCCCAGTAATGTCCCTCCACCATCAGGACCAAAGTACCCCAGTAATGTCCCTCCACCATCAGGACCAAAGCACCCCAGTAATGTCCCTCCAACATCAGGACCAAAGTACCCCAGTAATATCCCTCCAACATCAGGACCAAAGTACCCCAGTAATGTCCCTCCACCATCAGGACCAAAGTACCCCAGTAATGTCCCTCCACCATCAGGACCAAAGTACCCCAGTAATATTCCTCCACCATCAGGACCAAAGTACCCCAGTAATATCCCTCCAACAGCAGGACCAAAGTACCCCAGTAATGTCCCTCCAACATCAGGACCAAAGCACCCCAGTAATGTCCCTCCAACATCAGGACCAAAGCACCCCAGTAATATCCCTCCAACATCAGGACCAAAGCACCCCAGTAATATCCCTCCACCATCAGGACCAAAGCACCCCAGTAATATCCCTCCAACATCAGGACCAAAGTACCCCAGTAATGTCCCTCCAACATCAGGACCAAAGTACCCCAGTAATATCCCTCCACCATCAGGACCAAAGTACCCCAGTAATATCCCTCCACCATCAGGACCAAAGTACCCCAGTAATATCCCTCCATCAGGACCAAAGTACCCCAGTAATATCCCTCCAACATCAGGACCAAAGTACCCCAGTAATATCCCTCCGACATCAGGACCAAAGCACCCCAGTAATGTTCCTCCAACCGCAGACTCGGGATGGACTACAACATCCCTCCCATAGAAAGGACACCCACCTATCCTCTACATGACACACTCATGTCCTGGTAGTCAGGTGAAGACCAGCAAGCGGCAGAACCCTTGTAGGTGCTATAAGGGGGTACAATGT